GAAAATGGTTAAAAAATATGAAGGATTAAATAAAGCCATCTATATTTCTCCACTAAAACTTTCTTTAATAGCTCTGTGTAATTTTTCTATATTGTATATAATTGTTTCACAGAAGACCACTTCACACAGCATAAGAATTGAAAAAAAAAAAACAGGCTCAGCAGTTAAGAGCATTGGTGGAGGACCCAGGTTCAGATCCCAGCACCCACATGGTATAGCTAGCAACCATTCGTAACTCCAGTTCCAGGGGATCCAATGCCCTCTGTGGGCATTGCACGACACAGGTACACTTATACATATGCAGGCAATGCACTCATACACAAAAAATAAAAATAATAAAATTAAAATAAAAAACAGAACAGTGTGAGGACAGTGGCTTATTCATATGTATCACCTGAAAGACAATATTTCTAGCACAGCAGGTAGAGCTATGGAGCAGATACCCTAAGCTTAAATCTCAGCTCCATATCCCATATCCCATTCCTTACTTTGATCATGGAGCTTTATCTACATGTCTTAGCTCCTCTCCAGTAATACTATCTACACCATACCCCGTTGAGAGACTTACATGAGGTATTGGAGTGATTAGAACACTACCTGGCTCACAATTTTAAAAATCTAGCCCAACAAATCTTCAAGAATACATGCAGTATGGGCGAGGTGGCACACACCTGGAATCCCAGTACTGGAGAGGTGGAGGCAAGAGATGAAGAATTCTAGACCAGCCTGGGCTGCACAATGAGATCCTGCTCAAAATAAATGAATTAATTAATTAATTGACAACACACTTAACTAGAATATCCAAGGCCCTGAGTTCCATCCCCAGTGTCACCCCTCCTGCAGTAAACAAACAAAAAAACAAAAAAAACTCTGACATCTGAGCAAATTTATGTACCACACTAGAACTCTAACTTTTTACCTTTCTCTCCACAACAACTGCATTCAATTAAATGGAAATGTCTTTCTTTCTACTGATTTTCAAACTACAAATTTTGTGAAGCAATATTAAAAACCCAACAGTACTAGTCTTTCAAAAGTAGCAGCCTCACAATGATATGCAGCTGACCCATACCTCAAGAAGTGAGAAGTGACAGGTAATGGACTGGATGCTTTTAAATCCCCAACTAGGAATACAATCTCTCACTGGCACTGTTTTTTTTTAAAGTCCATTTTATGTGGGAAAAATATCTCAATAAGGATAGAAAAAATTGTTTTGCAAGGATTACTTAGTTCTAGGTTCATCTCACTCAACCAAACTCAGAGAAAGCAACTGTGCCTTCATTACTGAATTAAATGGTATCATATAAATTCGCAAGATGATAAAACTTTAGGAGCTGAATTACATACCTAAGAAGGAAACACACCTGTGACCCCAACACTTGGGAGGTGAGAGCAGGAGGATAGGGAATTAAAAGTCATCCTTGGCTACATAGTGAGTTTGAGGCTATATGAGACCCAGTCTTAAAAGGGAAGGAAGGGAGAGAGGGAGGGAGGGAAGAAAAGAGGAAAAGAAATTAATTTAGCAGGAAGTTTTTAACCAGGGATTTTTAAACTCCATGAAATGACACAGAAGACCCTATCCAGGCATGGGCACACAGTGTAGACATGTTTTTCTAAGAAGATAACCCAGTGCTTTCATTAGATTCTCAAAGGGGAGTAGAATCCCAAAAGATTGATAGTCACTGTGCTTTACAGTTTACTGCTTTCTACTCATACATATGTTTCAGCAAAGAAATTACTTATAGAAAATTAAGCAGTAAAATCCAAAACATCTCAAGTCTCGCATTTTCCAAATAACTGTGCATGTGTGTAACATAAATTCACAATCAGAAAGTCAACAGCTATGGAAAAGCTCTTAAACTCTGCAAGCCTTTCTTACAGCTGTAATTAAGACAAGAGAAAGATGAGCAGAACTAAAAAAGGCTTAAGACTGTTTTAGTCACTCATGAATGGCCAGGATATAAAGTAAAGAGGATACTGTGACAAAGACAAGCTTGTGATTATTGATGAGATTATTGATTAAACAGTTACAACTGCAGACAAAGAACCAAGTTCTGGCTAGACAGTTTGAAAGGACTACCAAACTACTGCAACTCCAATAAAGACCTGCAAAATCAGTTCTCTGAGCACAGGGAAAAAGTTTATGCTTCCCACAAGCCCAGGCAATAATTTTATTTTACAGTTGCCCTCACAATTTAACTTAGTATAACAACTGCAGCAAAATCATACCAGCTAAATGAGACTTCTTTTATAAATATGAGGAACTACTGTGCCCAAAATAATACAATCACAGTTAAATGACAGTAGCTTTCATAACAAATCTGTGAACCCTTCAATCTGGCAACAGTTCAAACACAAACAAAAAAATCTCAACCAAACTAAAGTCAAGGAAGCAATCCCGAGTCCTTTCCCTTCCTCACCCTGGGGACCGCACCTCTTTGTGCACAGGACCTAAAGGGTTCCTAACCTCGAACTCCAATCACCAGTCAGGCAAAATTGACGCTCTTGAGTCCCAGGAGAGCTGACCCTGGGCCGTGGAGACGATGACCGGCACGATCACCGGAGACGATGAGACTCCAGACGTAGTCCTGCCGAGCTGAAATAAGCCAGGGGCGCGCCGTCAGCGGAGAGCCGGCCTCAGGCTGGCTGCAGCGGACACCGAACCGCAGGTCTCAGCGCTGCCGCTCAGCCGCGAGAGGGCAGGAGGCAAAGGCCGTACACACCTGGCGGACCTCGGCGACCTGTCCTGCGTCAGCCGGTGAACGTCCGACTCTCCCAGGATCCGCCGCCGCCGCCCCTCCTCCGCGGCCCAGGGGCACCTCCACGTTCCGGTCCAACGTGGCAGCCGCAACCCCGCCTGCCGGCTGCCACTTCCGGGTGCGGCGATTCGCCCCGCCCACCCGTTGGCCATCACTTCCGGGAGCAGCGGGTCGTCCCGCCCACCCCGCTAGCGTTACTTCCGGGATCTGCGGTTAGGGGCGGCGGCCCTGATGGCTGGAAGAGCCGGCTGAAGTGGTGGCCGTTCGGCCTCTCGAGTGAGTTGCCGGGCGCAGAGGGCGGAAGCGGCACTGTCGCCGCGGAGCAGGGAGAACTCCCGCTGGGCGTTTCCGCTGGGGAAGACCCGCAGTGACCCGCTGAGACGCCACGTAGCACTGTTTTGAGACGTCAGCACCGCGGGCGGCACTGCCAACCCTGGAGAAAACACGCGAAAACGCGGCTGCCAGTGCCGGTCCGTTTGTGACTCGGCTCTCAACATTAAGCCACTAATTGCTTAGTGGCTCTACATTGTGTCCTTTGAGAGCTAACCTGACATTTTCATTCACACCCAAAGGCTACTGCTTATAATTTATTACTCCAGAGGCTTGGGAGGCTGAGGTATGGCGAATCCAGCTGGTATTAATAGTCGATTGCTATCCCATGGTATTCAAACCTGTTCGCACTCACCCTGCGCCACTGGAGCAAAACATTCTAATTTGAAAATCTGAAGTTGTTTTCTTGTTTTGTTTGGTTGGGTTTTTGAGTACAGGTAAGACATTCTGATTGAATCATTTGGAATTTCCTATTAGGGATTTAAACCAATAAATTCCGTGAAAATACCAACATCCCCTAAATTCTGAAGCCTCAGGTCCCAAACACTTCAAATAAGGCGTTATTTCTTTCTTGGCACTTTGGATCTTATTAGATGTGTTGCCTGCCTGTACATTTTAGTTTAGGGGGGAATATTTTACCAATGAAATCAAGCCAGAGGGAAAACTACTTGCTATAAAGTGTTAGAACGTTAATCCCAGCACTGGGGAGGCAGAGGCCACTCTGGTCTAAGCCATGGCTCCTAACTTCTAAACCAGTTTTTACTACACCTACCAACCAACTTCTCTATAACACCTTTCTTTCTCTGCCTCCTTAACTGATAATGTTTCTTTCGTTTACACAAAAATACAAGGAAACTGGATCTGAAACAGAAGCATCAGTTCAAGGCCAGCCTGAGCTACACAATGGGACCTTGTCTCAAATACTAAGTGCTGAGAATGTAGTTTAGTAGTAGAGCTTTTGCCTAGCATACACAAGGAGGCCCTGTTTGATCCCCAGCAACAAGTCAGTACTCCTAAGTACTAGAAATAGGAAATGTTTTTGCATTCACTGTCCTAAAAGCTTCCCAAATGTCCTGCATTCGTGTTTCCCAGGCTTGGGAAATGGCTGTTTGTAAAATTCTGCCCACTGCCACCCACCCGTCCCCCAGCACAAGGGAAAGGACCTGGGTTCTAATACCCAATACTCACTTAAAGCCTAGAGAGATGGGACGAATCTGTAACTCTAGGGGCAGGGGACACAGAAGGGCAATGATCCCCAGCACAGCAAATGTGAAGATTCCTGCAGTACACAAAAGGGGGCAATCCTACCCAATATGGGCAGCACCATCCCAGACTAGGGGCCTGAGTGGAGTAAGAAAGCAAACAAAAAACCAGTCTGCACACCTACTGTCTCTGCTTCCAGGCCACAATAAGGGACTGAAATGTGTGAACTGAGGGCCAAAACAAATCCTTCCTCCCCTATGTTGTTTCTTGTCCCTCATCTTGTTAACAGCAACAAAACAATTCACCTTCACTAACTTGAACTGGGGCAGGGTCAACGATCCCACACAACTTTATCTGGTAACATTACTAGTGGATCTGCAGGTTCTCCCATAGTATAGTCTAATATTATATTAAGCAAGAACTGCTTGCATCATGAAATCTGGATGCAAATTTCAGAGTAGTGTCCTGGTGTGAATAGCTTCACCAGATACATGATCATGAATTCATGCTGAGTTCTGAAATACTTTAACTAGTTTTACTGCCAGTGTGTTCATTTATTCTCTTGTAATTACCACTTACTTTCATGGGGGATTTTTTTCTTTATCTTTTTGAGACAGTCTCCCTGTCACCCCAGCTGGCTTGGAACTCACTATGTGGACCAGGTTGACTTTGAACTCACAGACATCTACCCCTGCCTCTGCCTCCCAAGTGCTGCATGTTGAAGCAATGTTAACTTGTATATTCATCAGGCCTTTTGGATGACTTCTAACTGTAGTTGCACTCAGGCCTAGACTCTGATCTGCTCTGCTTTCTCGTCACCACTTTCTAATCCAATTTCAATTCCACTATTACCAATTTTGCATTTCTTTGCTTTTTATTTTTTGCACTTACATGTGTATATTTGTGTGTGCACACATGCTACAGAGGACATGTGAGGTCAGAGGATAACCTGCATGAGTTAGCTATCTCTGTTCACCATGTGGGCTCCAGGGATCAAATTCAGAGCATTCACAGCCTGCTGCTTCAAAAGAAGCAGTTCCTTCTTTTGACTAACATTTTTGTTTATCATTACCTTGGTTTAATCTCTGGGAAGCAAAAAAACCTATTCACTTTCCTGAATAACTGATGCCCAGTAGACCAACAGAACTTGAAAGTGACATTGGTCACTGATTATGATGTCCTTTATACATTTATCTGTGAGGTCAAAGGACAACTTTCTGGAGTCAGTTCTCTTTCCACTACAAGTTACAGGAATTGGACACATGTCATCAGGATTGGCAGCAACCACATTTACCCACCACTGAGCCATCTTAGTGGCCCTTTATGTCATTAAATTGCATAATGATTTGTGGACTAAAGGGTTAGCATCAAAGTTTATGCAATCAGGATTAGTTAATACAGTATTAACTTAAATTTTAACCATGTCAGAGAACTGCTTTTATGTGCAGTGCTGGGGATTGAACCTGAAGACAAGCACACACTAAGAAAGTACACTGCCACTAATACATATCTGAAGCCCTCGTTTAAAAAAATTTAATCTATGTAGGGTGGTGGGTATGGACATGTGATTACAGGTACCCACAGAAGTCAGAGATATTGGGTCCCCCAGAAGCTGGAGTTACAGGTGGCTGTGAATCACTTGATATGGTATGCTCACTGGGAATTGAACTCAGGTCTTCTGGAAAAGCTGTACATGCTCTTAAATGCTGAGTCATCTCTCCAGACCCCCAAGCCCTCATTTTTATTTTAAGACAGGTACTAAATTATCTAAGCTGGATGTTAATCTCAAAACCTGAATTACAGGCCTGTGCCATCGGGTTTGACTAAGGACTGGTATTAAAGTGATATTCATGCGTAATCAAAAATCACAAAAGACTTTGTATAATTTACTTTTCTATAATGTGATACACCACCATGAATGAGCCAAGGCAATTTATAGAAGGAAGATTATTTGGCTTATGGTTCCAAAGGGATGAGTCCATCATGGTGGGGAGGCATGGCAGCAGAGGCAACTGGAATTGAAGCTGATAGTTCACATCTTCAAGAGGGTACAGGAAAGGAAGGGAAACCAAACTCCAAGTAGGGCAAGGCTAATGCCCAATCCCAGTGACTTGCTTCCTCCAGCAAGGCTACACCACCTAAACCTCCCAAAACAGCACCACCAACTGGAGACAAAGTGTTTAAATACTTGAAGCCTTTGGGGGACATATTCAAACCATCACAGACTGCTGTATCTAAAAAGAAAAACTTGTTTTTCACAAGCCTACTGTTAATCCATTTTAGTAAATTAAGCCTTGTTCTAGATCAAATAAAAATGAAGCTTTCTGCAGGGTGTAGTGGCACACACCTTTAATCCCAGCACTCAGGAGGCACAGGCAGGTAGATTTCTGTTGAGTTCAAGGCCAGCCTGGTCTACATAGCTAGTTCCAGGCCAGCTGGGGCTACAGGAAGACCGGCTCAAAAAAAAAAAAAGCTTTCTGAAGGAACACTAATTTTCAGTCTGAATTAAGTCATTGGAGCAAGAATGTTTGAAGATAATTAAAAGCATGTGGTGGTTTGGAATCAGGGGCAGTAAAATTCACCCAGGTCAGATTAGAACAGAAAGTTTATCAAGTACACTGCATGGAGAAGTGGCACGGCAATGGCAGAACTGCCTGTTGCCCATAGCGGACTTTTTGATTCCTGTGATGTAAATGAGAGCCATTCTGGTTGGTTGGTTTGACTCTGGACAAAGGTAGGACTCTGCTCAATCACAACCCTCCCACAGCTCCTCTCGAGCTTGTTCTCCCTGTTGCCCCATCTCAACTCCTGACAGAAAAGGCAAATCCTGGGTATTTGGAAGGTCTCTTCTGGAGCATCCTCAGGCTGCATGAAGTCTTAATGCTGTCCTTACCTTCTGTTGCTGGTTTGTCAAAGGACCATAGGGAGCAGTCAAGAGGGGACAGTGCCTGGCAAGGAACACCTTAGTAGCCTGATCTAAGAGGCCTAGGGGCAATTCTCTGATGGTACTGGCTGGAATCCACGTGGGGGGTCAGGGAGGAATCACCAGGACCTAGAATATCTGAATCCCATAAACTTGATAAGCAGGTTAAAAACACAGGAACCTGGGGACTGCAGAGGTGCTCTGTGGTTAAGAGCACTGGCTGTTCTTGCAGAGGACCCTGGTTCGATTCCCAGCACCCACATGGCGACTAACAACCATCCATAACTAAAGTCAGTTCCAGGGGAATCTGACATCTTCTGACCTCTGTGGGCATTGCATGACATGGGTGCATTTACAC